CAAAAATATTTTTTTCATGGGTTGAAAAAATTGAGACATCGCTGGTCAAGGTATATAGAGTTAAAAGGAGATTATATACAAAAATAAACCAAAATTTAGAAATAAAATATTGAATAACAATCCAATAAAAATTTAAATACAGTGAATAGCGATACCCCTAGCCGGGGCTGGTAGCTGTAAAGGTATGTAACCAGGTAACGAAATACTTTCATAGATGTCTCATAGATGGCGCTACGGCTAAAAAGTCGTTCAATGCCAAATATAAAGATCCGACAAACAAGCACATAAAGAAATTCATCGTCATAGAAACATAGAGTCTATTGAATCCGGCCGGATCGAAGGAATTTTATCTTCGATCGATTTGTATTAATAATTAAAAATAAAAGTTTCTTTTTTCTTCTCAATATCACGGACTTATCAAATCGCCCTCGTACATACTGTAATATACAATACTGTATTTAGGTTAATATGATATTTTTAAGAACGAAGATGGTTAATGTTAAGCAAATTTCGCCATCATTCCACTGTAGACTAATTGTTTATTTGTTATCGTTTTATTGCAAATATTTTCATATTTTTAGTGCGCTCCACTTCCATAAAAGCTTGTTCGTTATCGACAATTCGCCGATCAATTAAATAAAACTAATGCTTTTGGATGTGACAGCCATACACTTTTATTACAATATCACATTAAAAGTTCATTCCTAATGCCTTTCATACATGCATCATGCTGGTACATTCTGTTTTTAACCGACTTCAAAAAAGGAGGAGGTTCTCAATTCGACTGTATGTTCTTTTTTTTGTATGTATGTTACGCGATAACTCCGGTATATGTGAACCGATTTTCATGATTCTTTTTTGTTCTAAAGGGGGTACTTCCATAGTGGTCCCATTTCATTTTGAAGAAAATCATCCACCTCGAAGGGTGACAGTTCACGCATGAAGATCACGCAGAAAAGAAAACAAGCTAAAATAAAGTCAAAAACGAATTATTTAAAAATTAAATATAATATAACACATAATTTTTATATGGCAATATTTCTTTAAGTACTACAGAGAACCTGCTAAATTTTGATTTTCAACTGTAGTAAATTCTTATCTTATCTCTAACTTATCCCAAAATTTCAAAAATGCCCAGCGGTTTAACGACGGGCCGCGCCGCCCGTTGCTCCATAAGTCGCCATCAGGCGCTTGTCGACGTCGGATCTATGTCAATTTTTCTCCGCCTTTTATTCGCTAAGTCTGAGTAATTATTTGGAATAGAAAATTCGGATTGTGAATCTCAACATCGATAACATTAGCTCCGCGACCAGTCGCTAGATGGCGTAATAGGCGAATTAAAACGCGCAAGAAATTTAGCGAACATAAGGTTATTATACAATTTATAAAGTATTGCAATCAAGTTTTTGTAGACGCTCTCCGCGACTTTTACTTCTTGTTTGTGAGGATATTTAGTTCTATACAGCTCTACGTTTGTACGCACTAGTAAAATGTGAAACTTATCTGTTACTTGTTTGCTGCTATTAGACGCCTTGTCACTGATAGCCAAGTGTTTGTTTGGTTCATCACTTTCAGTCTTCCAAACAATAATACAAATGTTTGTCTGTAATGTCTTCTTGTATTTTTTATACATATTCAAGAATAAGACAATTTCTTGCAAAAGGTTTTGTAATAATAATATTAATAAATATATTCTTTTTATACATAGGTATGCCTATATTTTAAAAGTACAATAAATACTTTATCTTATGTCCGATTATTTTAAGAGTCTACATGGGATGTTTTGATGGTCGACGACCGGTTGATCGGCCCAAATAAATGGAGGATAAAGTGGAGAAAGACCTCCGCGCCCTGTACTCAGATCAGAGACCTGAAAGAAGATTGCACAAGACTGGGCGCGCTGGTGCCAACACGTATCGGGAACCAACACCCACTTCAGGCTGCTGAGCCTGTGTTATAAGTTTGTCCGATCGTACAAAAAGAATAATTAATAATAAAAATAATAAACTAAGGAAGAAATTTGTTAGGAAATCAATAATGTAATGGATTGAATTCTCTTAAAATAAACCTTTCCTCAAAATATTCTTTTAAAGTCTTCGACCACGAAAAAATCTCGTTATACCTAAGCACAATCGACGTTTCTGACGAAACGGCTTTTATTGTAAAATATTTCCACGTATACAGTATATAATCCAGTTTTCTTTCATCATCAGTCGCAGAACTATATTATTGTTTGAATTAAATTTTTCGGTTCCAAAAAGAAAGCCTTTTTTGGAAAGGAGGTCCAAAGTCGCCCGTCGGCGTTTCTCAAACTGCCTTGGAGGTTTTTCGAAAAATTAAAAAAGGGTAGGGCAACACGTAGTTTGCTTAAATCATTCATTACAAATACTGAAATGCTCTAGAAGCACTCAAGTAAAAAAGTTTCGTTTACATTTTTATCTTACAATATTCGAAAAAATTGTTTTTCTCATTGAAATTATTTCATACAATGACATTATTTAGACAAGGCAAATGGAACAAAATTTTTCCCAAAAACCATCAAAATTATAAACTGAGAAAAATTACAGTCACAAATCAAAAATCAAAATAATCTTTATTTCATAGGTAAGCATTATAACATTTGCAATCGTCACATTGGTTAAACTCTATCGCTCATTCGTAAGGAAGATTTCCCTGAGAAGAATGAGCAAGAAACTCTAGGGCTACAAAAAATATAACGTTATTTACAAAGAGCAACTTCTTTGTAAATAGAATAGACGGGTGACAATGATCGCTTCCCACCAAGAAACTCGTCTGATCCTTTGAACCTGCGTGCCGACAGGTCCGTCACAAAAGTGAAGATTTGGTAGTGGACTTTAGAGTCAACAGCTTAGCGGTGGCAAATGCATAACGGGAAGTGAGCGTGCCTACAGCTCCGGTACCTATCTGGAGAATAGAAGAGCACTTTACGTGCACCCGGAGAACTCACCCGAGTTACTAGCTTTTTGAGAACCGTATGAATTCCGTGACAACGGTCTATGACAACGCTGTCCGCGTGCTGATCTGGGGTCAAGGCCTGAATTGTTTTTATTACACCAAGTGACAGGACATGCAGGTCGAGCGCCTGGTGAAACCTTACCCTTCAATACTGGAACACAATAATGCTGACATTACTGCTTTGCGGCAGAAATAGTTAAGGTGGCAGTACTACTCTGGAGGATCTCTGTCACAAGGAGCTCTACTGAGACTAAAACTATATACTACTAATAAAACTTATAAGGTACTTAGTAATGTGCCCTATCCGCGTAACAAGAGGTTGTTAGTGAGGCTCATCAAAACTTAAGTAGAAATATGTGAGACTGTTCCATTGCCACTTTACATAACACAAAAGAAATCCGCCTACTGGAAGTAACATTACATTACATTCCTTGTTATTAAATCGATATTTTCCACGAAATCTCAAAGTCAAACCAAAAGATCAAATTACAATATTTTTTTTAATAATAATAATAATAACGCACACACTCGACATAGCGCTGCACTAGGGAAACCCTGTGTCGCGGGTGCCATGGACACACACATAGACAACCACAAATTACACCCAAACTCACGAGATAAATAAATGTAGGCCATACAAATATTTCTCCCGGCCCGGGAATCGAAACTGGGACCTCTGCGTCGCAGTCCGGCGTGCATTATATTTAATATTAACGGTACTGATATGCGATCTCTTTTACTTCATTTTCAGAAAAGGAAAAAGACAAAGTATTTAAAAAAGAGAAATGAATGAAGGCAGAATGAAATTCCTCAAAAGAGTTCCAAGACTTTAAATTGTATAAAAAAATTCATTTACCCGTCCAAACGCATTTAAAATTTTTATTTGTTTCATATAGATTGCGATTGGAAACTTATTCTTCAGAAACTCCAATAAAATGCCTTATGGGTTACAATTTATAATTTACAATTTTCGCAAAATTCCAGCTATATAAATACTACTCATATGTTTAATGTAACTCAATGGTTTAATGTTATTTCTAATTACTTTTCATTAATAAATTAAAATGGAATGTTCTTTTCTTAAATTAAAAAATAACTTATTAAGTTTTTGATGTATTTATGCTATTGCATTACAATTAGACGCAATCGGTTGCCTTTACTATCTCAATCGTGGAACCATTGTCATGGAACCTGTAAGTAGCCCGAAACATTGGTTTATTTGACAAGAAAAAAACAAATGTACGTGATTTAAATTCTAAAACATTATTTAATTTCCACTATTTTATAACTTTTTTCCATCAAAATTATCAGTTATGCCTATTCGTCCTAAAGTGGACAATAAGATAGGAAACAGGTTCACTACAAGTAATGAATATTGTTTTCTAAAAGCTGGTTTCTAAATCTAACAATATGAACGTTCAATTTCGTAGCAAAGAGGAACAAAGTACAACAATTTTAATTGTTGTAAGTAATGATGGTTATTACTGTATTAAAAGAGCAATAATCTTTCAAATGGAAAAACTGATTTTAATTTTTATCCGCGACCAAATCCGTAACACTCACATCTTAATAAAATTTAAAAGTAAGTGTCTATCTCCTTCATAATGCCTTTAATTGCTCTTTGAAGACAATATTAGGTTGTTTATAAATAGTTAACAAACGATTTTTCAAACATTTATCGCCATAAACTTTGTTTTTTCGTTCTTTCCAGTTTTAAGTTTATTCCGCACAAAGTTTTACGCACAAACTAACATTTGAAACAGAATTTCATTGTTAACACGTTTATGACATATTTTACGAAATACTTGTAATAAAATTAAAAGTATTTCAACTTGACTTTATCAGACTTCAGTTTCACAGATTATTTTCAAACTTATTTAGAAATCGTATAATCGTAATATTATGTCCTTTTAAAAAGTAATTTACGACTACAAAGATTTTTTGTTTGGAATTCGTGTTAAAACTGCACAAGTGTTCAAGTAATCAACTTTTTTATTGAATTTAAACTTATAACAAGGACTTACCTTCCAAAGATCTGGAGTCGAAGAATCGAAAAGTGTAAAATTCCTAAACTCTGGAGCTCAGAGATCGCGAAGGGGCCAAAGTACGGAGTGGTCGTGGACGCCAACAGGGTCCCCATATATAGGTTGAAGAAGGCGGGAAGGGGCGGTGCTACGCAAGCGTAGGCTACTCTCACACTAACGTAGACGTGATAAACATGAAGTCGGGTGAACTGTTTCGTAGTGTGAGTGCTGCTTTATAAAATCTGTTAGATAATTTTCAAAAATCATTACAAATCAATAATTAATATTCTTTTACATATGTAACAAAAACTTCTATCAAAATTAAGCACTATATTGTAATATCACATAATGAAATTTCACGTTTGAAACGATTCCATTTTTAAATTTGTTTAATTAAAAATACTTTTTCGATTCTTTCTCAAATACCATATTTATATGATGTCCCACGGCTTTGCGATAGGGAGGTAAAGTGTTTTAAATATTGTGGATAGAATATTCTGATCTAAGGAGACATTATTTTATTTTTAAAAGTAAAATAAAATATGTTTTTTAAATGTAATACTGCTTATATTTAATATTTGCTAATACTTAAATGCTAATGCATTTTTTATTAAAGTCGCTTGCTTCATTTGAAAATGGAATGGACTAATTTGATTTCTTGTTCTGGGGATACGTGAAACATTTAATAAACAAGAAGAAATTTGACAATGTGATTTTGAATATTCGTCATACAATGCAATTAATGTCGTATAATATAAAAATCAAAATCAAATCAAAATCAAAATAATCTTTATTTCATAGGTAAGCATTATTACACTTGAAATCGTCACAATGGTTAAACTCTACCGCTCATTCGTAAGGCAGATTCCCCTGAGAAGAATGAGCAAGAAACTCTAGGGGTTGCTCTTTGTAAATAACATTTACAATATTTTTTTATTTGAAACATCAGATTGAGACTACCTCCATGAGCTAAACGGGTTACTACCACGGATTTTTGTCATCCAAGTACGCAGAAGTTGTATAATAACCTTTAGTATAAAGTTTTTGTTTCACTATAGTTTTAAACCTCGTGAAAGGCAAATTTTGTATATCAACCGGAATCTTGTTATAGAAGCGTATACATTGCCCCTTAAATGATTGTTTGACTTTGTGAAGACGACTATCAAGAAAAGCTAGTTTATTTTTATTCCTCGTATTAATGTTATGTCTGTCACTATTTTTCATAAAGAAATTACTATTCCTTTTAACATAAATTATATTTTCATAAATGTATTGTGAGGCTAGTGTAAGAATGTTAATTTCCTTAAACTTATCTCTCAAAGATACTTTGGGGCCCAGATTGTAAATTGCCCTAACTGCACGTTTCTGCAGGACAAAGATTCTATTGATATCGGCGGCATTACCCCAAAGCAAAATGCCGTATGTCATTAGACTGTGAAAGTAGCTGAAGTAAACCAATCTAGCGGTTTCGACGTCTGAAAGTTTCCTTATTTTTTTAATCGCGTACACTGCAGAGCTGAGCCGTTTTGACAACTTACTTATATGGGGACCCCATTGCAATTTAGCATCTAACGTTATACCTAGAAATACAACTGTATCCACAAGATTCAATTTTTCGTTTCTAACTACAATGTTTGTAACCGTCTCTCTAACATTGGGTAATGTAAATTTCACACAATTTGTTTTTTTCTCATTAAGAAGTAGGTTATTAACAGCAAACCAATCAACTACTTTAGATATAGCATTGTTCACATCGTCATAGGAACATTGGTGCCTTTTAACTTTAAATAATAAGGAAGTATCATCAGCAAACAATACTATCTCATGTTTTATACCCTCCATAAGGCTAGGTAAATCATTAATATAAACTAAAAACAAAAATGGGCCTAGAATTGAACCTTGAGGGACACCCATGCTAATTACAGACCCTGACGATCTCGTACCGTTAACATCGACCCTCTGTACCCTACCACGCAAATACGATTTAAGAAGGTCGAGATCACGTCCCGCCACACCATAATGGCGAAGTTTCCTGACCAGTGTATCATGGTGCACACAATCAAAAGCCTTGGAAAGGTCACAGAATACACCAATAGCATCATGTGAGACTTCCCATGCATCAAATATATGATTAATCAACTCTACACCAGCGTCGGTTGTAGAGCGACCCCGAGTGAAACCAAATTGTTTAGGAGACATTAAATTATTACTATAAAAATGTGCACACATCTGATTTAGAATAATTTTTTCAAATATTTTACTGAGAGTTGGTAGTATTGATATAGGTCTGAAATTGGTGGGGTCAGAAATACTACCAGATTTGAAAAGTGGAATAACTTTACTTTGCTTCATGAGGTCAGGAAAGACACCATCATCAACACATTTATTAAAGACACAGGCTAAGTAAGGCGCAATACAATCAACTATAGAACTAATTACTCTGACTGAAAGACCATCAAGATCAGCAGTATTTTTTATATTTATAGACTTAAAGGCCTTAACAATATCGTTTGGAAATACATGACGGAACCTTAAATTAGTGATACTAACTGCATTATTTTCTTTTAGTAAGCATTCAGCGGCCGTGGGAGATGAATTTAACGAATTAGTAGTCAAAATTGGAATGTTGGTAAAAAAATTTTCAAATATTTTAGCAACTTCTGCGTCTGTGTTTACAATTTTGTCATTAAATCTTAGTTGAAAATCTAAGTTACGAGGTTTGACCCTTCCAGTTTCGCTATTTATAATATTCCAAGTCGTTTTTACTACATTCGCGCTGCTTTTTATTTTATTATTAATAAACATTGCTTTGGCTGCCACACAAACACGTTTAAACATTTTCGAATATTTCCTAACAAAATCATTAAAACTGTTACTAGTGTTATAAGTTCTTTCATCGTAAAGATCGTACAGCCTTTGTCTACTTTTGTGAATTCCCACAGTCGCCCATTCACTAAATTTCAATGAATTATTAATAGTTATGATTTTGGACTTAAAAACATTATCACGTTCACTTTTCACTATGTTGAAAACTGAATTATACAATTTATTGGGATCGTTAACGTACGGAATGTCAGTTAGTTTAAGCATTACGTTATTTCTATAAGCTTTAAGTCGACCATTATTTATCGGAACACATGTGATATCCTTTTTCGGCATTTTGTCAACAGTTATATTAAAAGTGGCCAATTGACCGCAGTGATCTGAAGTTAATTTATTTATAATAGATTTATTACTAGGTACGGCGTTGGTATAAATGTTGTCTAAACAAGTGGCAGTAGTAGAAGTTATTCTAGTAGGCACCAAAAAAAGATTCACAAGGTTATAACATTGGAAAAATGATATGAGCCTACTGCTAGCACTGGAATCTTCTAATAAGTTAACATTGAAGTCACCACAAACAGCAATATATATATATATATATATATATATTGCTGTTTGTGTATATATATATATAGGTCAGCAATGAACTTATCAAAAAATTGAAATTTGCATAGAAATAGATGGAACACATTTTGAATAGTTAGTAAATTTGTTGCAAATGCTGTAGACACTCGTACAATAAAATCGCAAGTTTGTTTCTTTTTTAATAAATTGTATAATTGGATAGTGTCCTTTTAATTTAAGATATTATGCTACTTAAAAGAAATTAATTCTTGTAATTGACCCTTTCGATAGACATCAAGAAAATACAATTTTTTTTTACATTTATACGGTCGGATTTCCTGAAGGGGCAAGCAACTTTTTCAAAATCTATGAATGCGGTTTTACTTATTTTTAAAAATAAAATAAGTAAAACTGCATTCATCTCGCACCTCTAACTTACTCGGTATTTATGTGCGAAATTTTATTTGAAATTTACCATGAGTTTTACGACGAAAACACCGTGATGAACCCGACGATTTACGTCGACGAATTTTCACAACCCTCGGGACCAACCCGCATAGGGCCATGGCGAACTATGGCCGAAATCCTTGCCTAAGAAACCCGTGTCCAGCAATGGGACGTATAAATAAGTTAATGATGACGGTATTCATATATTTTTTGTGAAAATACTCCTGTAGTTTGGTGTTATTATATATACAAAGGACATTGAGTTACAATTATAACAAAGGACGAAAAAATACAACGAAAAATTCCGATCCAGGCAGAGCGAAGGAATTTGTCTTTGTGTTGTTCATTCTTTGAATCAATGATGATAATAAAATAACGACTCCATGAAGCTAAATATCCTTTCTACAATATTCAATGTACTTTCAAACCATGTCACATAGCAGGACACCCTGTCTTTAAGAATTATTTAAATAGGTTAAACAAATACTATAGTATAATTAAGCACAATATAAATTTTATTGAATTAATATTCAATTATTTTTACTCCACTAGTTTTTTTAATATTAATAATACAAAGATAGAACACTTAGAAAAAATCATTCGATCCGGCCGGAGTCAAACCGACGTCTCTTAGCAAACCGTGGCAGACGCTACACCAACTAACCAACTAACCACGGAACGAACCAGCGGACCTCACGAATTTTTCTATGTGCTTGTTTGGCGGATCTTTGTATTTGGTTTTCAACGACTTTTTGGCCGTAGTATCATCTATGAAAAATCTATTAAAGTATTTCGTCACCCAGTTAGATTACAGTCCCAGCCCTGGCTAGAGATGTCGCTATTAATGCTAACTTTAATTGTTATTGAATTGATATTCAATTATTTATGTGGTAATAATTAAATACACTTTATAAATTAAGAATACGGCAATGTTCTATTTTTATTTTGGGTAGGCAACACTGCTTTTTCCTTGTAACGGCCGGATTTTGACTGTTTTAAGTTATTTATAGAAATAGAGTCCATCAATTTAAAATCAATTTACATTTTTTATACTTGCAAGTTTGTGGTCCTTCGAGCCGAATGTCTTTACAATGTTACGCCCATTAATGTCAAGTTCTTCAAAACACTTTTTCTCGTCAGGAATATCTTCAAGTATTCTAAGTATAATGGAGCACCAGTTATGAAGATCGAAAGCCTGTGTATATAAGGCGTTGCACATGCGTGTGTGTCAAAAGAAATTTTAACCAACGGAATTTCCACT